AGAAACAGTTGTGCACAACATGGATTGTTCTTGCATTTGCTGCCAGGAACGTTTACCAGGAGTTCAGGGCCAAAGTGTAGATCACAACCCGTGACTCTCCCTCTGCAGGGTGACAATCAGTATCTATTCTTCCTCTGTGCACATGCAGACTCAATCTTCACTTTGCTTTTTTGGGTTGGTTTAACTTGTAAGCAGCTTCAAACCCTTTCTGCACAAACTGTGTGCATACATTCCAAACCCAGATCATCTGTCATCTTGGAGAGAAATCAGACCAGAACAACATCAAGTTGTTTGCAGCATTTATTGGTTTTTACTTGTCTAATGACCCAAGGGACCAAACTAGCGAGGCATTCAGCCAGTACCCAACAAACTTCTTCTATTTGTCTACCATTATAACAACTTCTGCTATATGTAATACTGCAGTTTACCTAATTTTTCTTCAAATCAATTTCCTTTTTATTAACTTTATGTGTATTTATGGACATAAAGCAAAAATCAGCATCTCTTGCTCAAAGTACAGGTTTGTTCTGAAAAAATAAGCCCAGTGAGACCAGCCTGGGCAACAAAGTGAGGCCTCGTCTCTACAAAACAATTAAAAAATTAGTCAGGCATGGAGGTGCACGCCTGTAGTCCCAGTACCTGGGGAGGCTGATGTGAAAGGATCGCCTGAGCCCAGGAGGTTGAGGCTGCAGTGAGCCGTAATTGTGCCACTGTACTCCAGCCTCAGTGACAGAGTGAGACCCAGACTCAAAAAGAGAGAGAGAGAGGAAGAGGGGAAGGGAGGGATGGAGGGAGGGAGAAAGAGAGAGAGAGAGGAGAGAAGGAAATGTTGGGTTTGATAAAGGCCCTTTGTTTATTCCACAACTACTTATTGGAACCCAATGTGCTATTCGGTCTTGGGTGCTAGACTGGATGAGACAGATGAAGCCCTAGTTCTTCCCATGTACCTGGATCGTGGCAAACATGATAACAACGATTACTTATTATTTCAGAGTAGGGAAGGAGCCCTCTGGGGAAAATCGGGGGTTGGGTGAGTTGTGAACATCCTCCTACAACCATGGTGGCCCGGGCAGGCACACAGAGTTTAATTTCCATCAAAGAACAGAGGCCCCGGTGTTGGAGGAAGGAGGCTTAGTGCTTGGTTCAGGGTCCCTCCTGGGAAGGAAGGTGAAGGGATGTTACTGAGTTCAAAAGTAAGGTCGGGGTGAATTTCTTTTTCTGTTAAACTTCTAATGATTGCAAATGACAGGTATCCAGTTTGGATCAGCATAAGTAAGAAAGAAAATGCATGGGTTTCCATATCTGATGGGTCCAGGAGTTAGCAGTTTCAGGCATGGCTGGATCCAGCTGTACAAATGGTATTGATGGAAATCTCTGTCACCATTTTGTGGCCCTACTTTCCTCTGTGATGTCTTTATTCTCAGGCAGTCTTTCCATTTGTGTTGCTAAAACCACCAGTTTTGTAGTCTTAGAAGAGGTCTCTTCCTCAGTCATTGCAGCAAAAAGCAACAGAATGTTGAACCCCGTTGGTCCAATCTGGGTCATTTGCACCTTCCTGGAGCTAGGTGTGGAGCCCAGCCTGGCAACTCACACCAGTCGAGACCTGCGGAGGGAAGTTCACCTGAAACATCATACCAAGGGGGAGAGGATGCTGGGTCATGCCCACCGCAGTGCCCCAGGAGGAGAGGCTCTCAGAGGAGAGTGAGGGTCTCTCCCACCTGAGAGGATTGCCTGAGCCCAGGGGTTCAAGACCAACTTGGGCAACTTGGTGAGACCTCATCTCTACAATAAATCACACACACAAAAAAACCAGGTGGGTGTGGTGGCGTGCGTCTGTAGTTCCAACTACTTGGAAGACTGAGGTGGAAGGATCACCTAAGCCCAGCAGGTCAAGACTGCAGTGGCTGTGAGGGTGCCACTGCACTCCAGCCTGGGTGACAAGAGGGAGACTCTGACTCAAAAGAAAAAAAAAAAAGGAAAGAAACCATCCTGTGCTAGGCTCCGTGCAAGGCCATATGGAAGCTCAATTTTAGTTGTTTGAGAAAACCACCACACTGCTGTCCACAAAGGTAATCTCATTCCCACCAAGTGTGGGACACTCTTTTCAAATCCCAGATCTGACGACATCACACCCTCATGCCTTTAAAGGTTCCAAGTGGGATCCAAACCCAAGTCCTCAACGTGGCCCACAAGGGCCTGTGTGACCGGGCTCTGCTCTCCTCCGCGGGATCCCCCGCCCCCCTTCCCCTCCCATCCCTTAACCTCAGCCCCTCCTTCACTTCCCCAAGGAGTCTCAGACCTGGCCTGACACTCAGTGCCAGGCATTAGTCCACACTCTCCAAATTTCATTCAGCCAATGCCACAATGGACTTTTCAAGTGGAAGCTGTTATTAAGCTGTTATTATCCCCATTTGACAGATGAGGAAACTGAAACACCAAGAAAGACATTTGCTCAAAGTCACACAGCTAGAAAGTGGCAGAACTGAGACTCAAAGTCAGACATTTTGGCTGTGGAATTCTCATTCTTTTTATTTATTTTATTTTTTTTATTTTTTTGAGTCGGAGTCTCACTCTGTCGCCCAGACTGGAGTGCAGTGGCCGCTCCCGGCCACCGC